CATTCGACTTAGAAAAGAGAAACTTTGCGTATATATTACCAATCTTTTTCTTGTTTATCTTCTTCTTAATAACCACCACTTCCAAACATTGCTTTTTTTGAAACAATCACGAAAAAACTAGCTTTTTCCTCGTTTTCCCCCCGGTTGCGAATTCCTGGTCCTGGAGCGAAAACCCTGCACCTTGAAACCGCCAAATGAAAAATTTCAAACCTCATTGCAGCGTTTTTATCCGGTTTTGCAATTGACTGGCCAAATACGAGCAACACGGAAACGTCCTTTTTTTCCAAAGCACATATTTATTGCCTATGAAACGATACCGTTCCGCTGCTTCAATCCAAGTAAAACTTTTAGCTTGTAAATCTCTTTCAACTAAAGCAATAAGCTAATAGCTTACCGGTCGGTTGCAGCCGACGCATATGTGGGCCTTGAAGATACACGGTCTTGTCCGGGAAGATGAGCAGTGAAAAGATTTACACTATGCGTGCTGCATTGCATAGGAAAGTGAAAAAGGCGGCAAGGCTTCAATATGCCAAGTAGCGGCCATCCAAGAATGCTTTGCATGTCTATATCCACGAAATCGTTGCGAAATTGAACTGGGTTCGTATTTCGACACAGTGGATTACTGCAAGAAAGCTCAAAATTTTTTTGATCTGGTACTTTGTAAATCTACTTGAAAATGTATAGGCCATAATAGAGCAGCAACATTCGACGTTGGTGTGGCACTGATATTTTAGTAGAAGATGCGCATTATAAGGAATGATATCCTTATTGAAAGCTACTCTGGTTTCCCTTTTTCCAGTTGGCGCAGTCCTTCCATTTTCCTTCTGCGATACAAAGGAAAAAGGATAACAGTCATTTCTAAGTTCAGTCGTGTCTCGATATGGTTTTGGAAAATGCTTGTTGCGAAACTCGGCGTTTGCAGAACGACAGGCAAGATGAGGACAGAATTCACAGGGGTTATGAACCATAAAACGAGACACTAAATCAAACAGCTTGAGCTCAGCTGCAGCCTTACCTTCGTCAGATATTCGGAAGTCTCCGCTGATATATAATCTATGCATCAATTTTCTCAGGAGTGTTTATCTTCTCACGCAGGGTTACCAGCATATGACGTGCATGCATCCCTCGTTTTTGATATTCGATGTCGTATATTTCAATAACATTGATGAGGCTTTGCAAACGCAGCTTAAACACTCGAGCACAGAAGAGTGGATCAGTGATCCAAGTATCGAATCCTGTTGCAAAATTTTCGCATATTTCAGGCCACAAGGTTTCCAGTAAACGTTATAAAAAGATCCGGCTTTCCCACACGGTGCGCAACAGCCATGGCATCGTGATATAACTTGTCGAACCATCCTCTGCTTCCAGTAAATCCGCTAGATAGATTGACAAGTTTTCGTAGTTTAAATTTTTCTTCTGTGATCGTGATCCAGATATGAGTACAATGCAGTAACTTTGCAACTTCTAATCTCACGATCAGACATGTCTTGACAAATAGAAGAAAGATGGTCAGCTTCAATTGTCGTAGAAGCATGTGTTACGAACTGTGACAAAAGTCTTCCACTGCCGTAAAAACGGTGTTCTAACAAATCTCCTCTTCGAGATAGCACAAAGCGATAAAGGTCACCTCGTGCAAGAAATTTGGAGGAAAAAGGCTTAATGGCATCATCTTCGCAAGAATCTTCGTTGAATAGCGACGGTTCTGCGTTGGCAGAATTGGATACTGTGTTTGATGAACCACTTGCATGACGTTTTTTTGCACGTTTTGGGATTTTATTGTGAACAAAAGTTTGTTCTCCATTTGGAAAATACAATGGATATGATAGAGCGTCAATATTGTCGTTATGATGAGCGGCTATTCGTTTTTCTCCTCTACTATAATTTCGCAATCACTCATCCAGCTCCTCTTCGAATGGAAAAGTTCCATTGCGGCAAACGTAGATATAGTCGCCCTCACCCCACTAGTCGGTCGGTGGACGAATTCAAATTTGAATTGGAGCAAGCCTGTCACGGCAAAGCGCGGCAGGAGACAACGCTCAGCAATTACAAGAATTCAATATCGGTCAAAAACGTTGTAACAATACAAAAACTGCTAAGCAATGGCGAAGAAATACGCAAAGTGAATGCGTGAATTTGAACGGAGAGCTAACAGGGGAAGGATACTTGGATGCCGTAGCCAATCATAATGATTCGTATACCAAAAAATGCGCTTTTGAATACTGGTTCGTAGACTGTCTTTCATATCTGCGAAACGATAATTTGAATGGAGTTATGATTTTTTTTTCATTAAAAAATTGCGTTCCTGCGGAGGGTCAAAATCATCAATAAAAAAATTTTCTTCCCTTTCCAAATGCTGAGTATGATCCATATAGTCTAAATAAATACTACTACGTCTAAAATTTTCTTCAGTAGCATCAAACGGTAGGCTAGATCAAATTTGGTGATTTTTACTATCCAAAAGTAGCCTAAATTTTCAAGGAAAAAAGTTCATAACTTTCTTCAAAAGATCGTTTCGCAGATTTCGAGCACAGATTCAGAATCTGCATTCGAAGGCGCATTTTTTGGTATACAAATCATCAGGAATGGCCGCGGCATCCAGACATCAGGTGCATCGCGTGTGTGTGTTTCAAATTCGTGAATATTTGCGGCGGGATGTCCTGACCTTCTATGCGTAAAGCTTTCGTTGAGATAAACTTCACACATAGACTTGTACGCCTTTGCAATCACATTATTCTCCCTCAAAGTAGAAATTATCCTCTTAACACGTTGACGACCGCGCCATTTTGGACGAAACTCACACTAACGTCCTTCGCGCATTTGGCCCGTGCATGCGCGCGTATGCACGAAAACATTATGTGGGAGTCTTTTTGACGCTTATTCATAAAACATGCAAACTATGTTCAGAGAAACATGTATATCACAGAGTCTTACTGGGACTTACACAAATCAAGGTTTTTGTCTCGATTTTCCCTCCAATAAACTATGCAATGGCTATATCTGAGCAATCCTTTTTTCGAGAAAAGCGTTGTGATAACAGGTTTTTTGCCTGGTTCATCCTTGTTTGCTTTCAGAACAGCTACACACAGTTTCCACCTTCTGGAAAAACGCATTTAACATGTATTAACCACACCAAAAACGGACATACTACCCAATTTTGCGACCAAAACTTCTGAACAGCTGCCGCGATGCCCTGTGTTCTGTAAGACAATCAGGGCACCATTAGTATTACTGTATAAAAGTTACCTTAAAACTTTTTGTTTACACCCAAAAAACCAGCGTGCATATGCGCGGATGCACGAAAATGCTAAACGGGAGTCAGGGCGTGCATACGTGCGTATGCACAAGGTCGTCAACGTGCTAATATTGGGTTGTTCCAAAAGTTCCACCCGTTTTCGATACCTTTTTCTGAACTGCTGATTTTGGAGGAAGAAACCATTTTTCATAAGCATTGCTTATATCATCCAAAAGCTCTTTTCTTCTTGTTTTTTTCAGGCATATTTTCGTTTTCATAGATCTTTGTTCGCTGTGTGGTTGCGTACTTTGAGAAGACAGCGAAACAAATATGAAAATTTTTGTCTTTGCTCTATCGCCGTGAAATCTACAGCCAAAAGGAAAAATTTCTTTTAAAACATACCTAATGTTTGCTGGAGACGTCTGCTACGAAACGCTCATCAAGATATGATTTTAAAAAAATTTTGTACAAATTTTCAGCTCAAATACGACCTGTCTTTATGGTCCCTTCAAGTCGCATAAAAATTATAAACATATTGCAATCGCGGAACTTTTACTCTATAAGTAAGATTGGAGCTAGAGCAACTGCTACTAGAAAAACGAAAAGATTTTCTGGTTTGTCAACGGCGAACAAATTTAAAATGTCAACAAATTGCATTTTTTGCCGCCTTAGAAAGAGCAAAATAAGTGGGTCCTTTCGGACTTTTCAGCACAAAATTTTTATGAAAGAGTTTGATGAAAAGTCCAAAGTTAGCAGTACTGCTCAGTCGACTATGGGCTACACTGTGAACAGTGCTTGTGCAACTCAGCTATATTCCAAATCAAGTTATGCTTTTGCAAAGTGAAGGTTTCTGCAAGGAGATGTTTCTCGATTTTCGCCTATAAAATCCACTGTTATTGCAATAATCTTAAAGAGTGCGCAGAGTAGCCAAAGATTTGCAGATTGTAATACAGTTTATACAGCAATTGCAAAGATTGCTTCCGAGAAGTAACAATTGGTATTAATGCTAAAGCCTCCCAAAGCTGTTCGCAGTGCTGTTCCATAGGTCCAGAGGTCACAGTTTTCTTAGAAACATTAGTGCTTCTAATGCATATAAAAATGCAAAGGCTGACTGCACCGGCAGCATAGTTTTTGAGTAACGCTGCTTGCTCAGCCGTAACGTACTTCGAACAAATCCAAAAGATTTTCCAGTACTTTGAAGATGTTCTTTGGTGGATGCACACAAAACGGGAGAATGTGGTTCGAAAATAATGGCATGTGGACACTTCAGAATATATCGAACTACAGCAGCAGAGACGAAGGCACTGTCTCAGACAATCGCCGGGGGCAGGCGGGCACCGGAAAAATAGATTGCTGATCTCTCGCACCCCTCTCGCGGATTTTTTGGAAAGCAATCATGACTTTTCGGAAGACCACTTGCTGAGTTCTCGATTCCTCAGAGAATCAGCAATATATCTACAAAAGATAAGAGCGAAAAAAATTCAACAGGCGGTCTCTCAAAAATCCGCTGACTCAGCAAGCGGCCGAAAAGTCCTGATTGCTTTGCAAATAATCCGCGAGCGGGGTGCAAGAAACCAGCAATCTATTTTTCCGGTGCCCGCCTGCCCCCAGCGATTGTCTGAGGTAGCTGACGTACAATACAACCAGTATTGTATCGTATCCGAAAGAGAGTGGTGGCGCAGTGAAACAGATATCAGCAAATGTTTATTTCAAACTTGACATCACATAATGCACTTTAGGACATTTGAAAAAAGGTACATGGTTAGAATTAAGAGCTGCTGTACAGAAAATCTCCGCGGGTTTGATTCTTGCTGAGAAATTCTACTTCAATGTCGTTCTCCCAAAAGGTCACGCTTATAGGTGTGTGATTGCTTGCGGCAGTACTTGTCGTTGTCTTTTGTCCATGTTGATCCTTTGAAGGCAATTTTTCGTTTGTTGCGCTCAATCGCGTAGGCCTTAAAATCGTCTCAATTCCCATGGAAGTGTGAAGAAATTTATGGGCTTCTTCAGCCATGTAGTGATCGTCACACATTCGAATTAGAGAGGTCCAAATCGTGCTGAGCGTAACAATCAGTTATCAATGCAAAAGTTTTCCAAAGCCGTTTACAGTGTTCTTCTACGAGAGAGAAGCTCATAGTGTTCCGTTGTAACACTGACTCCTTTAATGCAATCAAAAATGCAAAGACTGATTGCACTAACAGCATTTGCTTTGAGTAGTACTGTTTGTGTAACCGTAACGTGCTTCGAACAAATCCAAAAGATTCTGCAACGCCCAGGAGATGTTTTCTTGTGGAATCACATAAAACTGACGAATATGGTTTGAAAACGATGGCGCGACGTCTCTTCAACACATGTTGAAATAAAGCAGCAGAAGCGTAACCGTTATAACTGACGTAGAAAATAATCACTACTGTGTCATATCCTCAAGAAAATGATAATACAGCAGAATAGGTGTCCACAGATGCTTTCTTCAAGCACGTCATTACATGATGATATATATGATGATGATGTATATTGAGACGAATGCAAAAGGCTACATGGGGTAGAAGAAGGAGTTGCTGCACGGAAAAATCGGGTGATTGGCTTTTAGCAGATGTTACGCTTGTTGATAAATGATTCACAGTAGCTGTTGTGGTAGGAGAATTTTCAACAAACATCAGAGTATACTGCATAGGATGATTGAACATACGTGGTAGAGATGTCATTCCAGAGGTGATTTTGTTGGTTACTATAAAAGAGCTTCTGAGATAGCGCTCTATCCGTTTTTTGTATGCTGGAGAAATGAACGGGTTGGTGCTTCAGTGGTAAACCCATTGCGAGCCGTTCATCGTAGATGCAGGTAAAAACTCCGCAGCTAAAATCATCGTTCTGCTCTTGGACAGTTATCACTTCCAGCCACTTCCACATAATGTAAAGGTACATTAGTAATTTGTTTCCAAATTTTCCATAATGAAGGCTCATTTCTTCGAAATGCGGCTCTTTACACAGAAATCGTAAATAGTAACGTAGATAAGAATATGTTGCAAACAGCCAATCCCCAATGTGTTCCATCAAAAATATGAAGAGGAACATAACACACCTCTTCCCTTATCGGATAATCAGGAATACTGAAAATGGATCAATCACGATATGATTGGTATTCCGAACTACATACGAAAGGAACGCATAGATGACCTCATCTTTGAGCCATGAGTTCCCATTCAGACACTCAACAGCATCTTCAAACAGCTGACAAACAGAAATACTTGCATTATCATTATCCAGCAATTGTGCGGATGTAAGGATTCTGAAAGTTGAATTTCTAGATGAGTAGCATTTTTCTTAAAGGGTAGTTGCAAACTGCAAAATTCAAGTTGCAATAAGTTCATTTTGGAAACTTGATCTGATTTGCGTTAACGAAAAGATGAATTAGCTCATTGTACAAATATAGTAGCTAACAAAGTGATATGTGGATGACTCTTTCTGGGTGTATTTTAGATAGCACAAGCTACGAATTTTTCAGCGAAAACAGTTGCAAAGCTGCGTTCACCTTACTATATTCACATAGATACGAATGCTTAAACTCACCACAACTTATGGTTGTTTTATGTGCGTGGTAGTCTCACGTAACGAAACTGCTGTAGTGCACAAACTTTTGTCTCTGTTTGGATAGTAACAGTTTTCGTTGGATCTTCAGAAGTTTTGAGCGTTGTCAATAAGTGATGAGGCCTATACATCTTCAATGACATTTATACTCTATTTAGTTGGTAGATGCAATCTGCAAATTTGAAGTATCAGATAAAATGTGGAATTTGATGACAGAGGACGATTTCACTGCTCAGTTGATTACAAAAACGAGACCTAACAGCGTTAGGGTAAAAAAGAAAACAAAGCAGCGTTGCAAAAAAATCACAATCGAATTTCTTATACATGTTTAGAAGGGGGAGGAGGATATTTTCTCGTCTGTGTTTCTGACGAATGTAATTTTTTCGAGATATGGTATTCCAGACTGGTGTTTACAGTATTTCTCAACGACTAGAGGTGGGGCGTGTTCAACTGACTACATAGACGTTTGCATCTTTGAGTGACAGACAATCTTTTCTATTCTGCAGCATTCTTCCGACCTCAGCTGATGAACTTCACAATCGATTTCAGATGAAATTCTTCATTTGCATCATTTCTTGACAGCGATTCATTCTTTTCGACTGGCTTCGACGGCTACGGAAGAGCATGTAGAGGTGGGACGTTTGTATAAATAACAGCTTCGAAGTAGCTGCTTCAGGTGTGGAATACGTTAATAAGTTTTACGCAAAACGGAAGAAGGAAACAGCAGGGGAAAAAAGCCTACGTAATTGCTTGGCTGAATGCAGACAAAGGCAAGAGGAGTTGCATTGTATCGTATCAAAATCGATCAAGAGTAGTAATTTTTCAGAGGTATGGAAAACTATCACGCTTCCACATAAATACAAATGCGAAAAAGACACAGAAATACCCGCAACGCAAAAAATTACTAAGTCAATAAAAAAGGCAAACACATATTGAATTTATATTAGCATTGTTACAGCATTCATACAGAAATCTTCACACTGTAGAAATCGTCACCGCCGAAACCTGGTGCAAAAGCAGAAGAAACTATAATAAGAAAACGCCTTCGACAAATGTTGACATCATCAAGAAAACTAATTGAAGCCAAAAGCAAGAGGAAAACATGACAGAACTTCGTGCATTATTCTCTTATTTATATAAAGATCATTAGTGTACTGTACTAGATTTCTCATAATCACTTGTATACAAAGTACAATTAATTTGAATTAGATGTACATATCCAAAATTACCTTTACGTCGAGCATTAAGCTTTCCTTGTTTACTACTAGTAACTGAGCGAAAAGATCATACTTCGTCGTATACATGCATACTCCCATTATATATGTGTAAAAAATATTGCTACGCTGGCTTATCCGGCTCCGCCCGGCCCTGTCAAAACACTTTAAGGTCTCACTCCTATCCCTGTACCACCTTTCTCGTGCCCAATTCTACATACTACTTCCCTATTACCGCTGTTAGTTATCAAAATGCTCACTTATCCCTTTGTGCCAATTCCCAACCGTAGTTCAAACCTTGCAAAACAATCGATAAAAATAACGGTTAATTTTCAAGAACTAATATTGTGTTCGTAATCAGCATGCTCGATTACCCCCTGTGCCAGCTCTTAGCCCCGTAGCTCAAACTTTGCAAAAAAAAATAATAAAATCGATATCGATCGATGAAAAAAGTAGCTTATGACACCCTCCCCGCCCCAAAGTGTATGTGTGCCAAGTTTGGTTCGGTTCAGAGATAATATCTATTTCGAACATACGTACAGAAACACAGACAGACATACAAACAGACACTCAGCTTTATATATAAAACTATCCACTGCCTATTCTATCAATTTATATTAATTAATGCAAAAGGTTAACATCTGCAAATTGTCAAGATGCAAACACCTACTGAGTATGCCAGTTATGAATCTACAACGCAAACGAATGTTTAGGACTATTGCCATTCGACTGGAACACCTTGAGAATAGCCAACAATTCGTATACTATATTGCAACGTAACAATTGAATAGTAAAAGAAATCCAGTAGTTGTAATTAGCACTTTTTACAAACATTATTAGGCTACAAAGCACTTTTTACAAACATTATTAAGATACAAAGTTGTGCTACACTTTCTCTTGGAAATCATGATTTTGTCCTCAAAGCCTATGATAAAAAACAATTGATATCGATTCCAAAGGTAACAAACAAGTGCTCTTCTCTTAGTTTATATACACATTTTTTAAGAGCGTGCTGTTTTCCTTTTTTAAATGTGTGACACAACAAGCGTCACTCGCTGGACACTAACCAAGTATATTGTAATTTCAACACGCTCTGGTGTTATGGCTTGGTCTCAGCCAAGGAGCTGAGACTATCTAAGCTTTCGTAACAATATGTACGTGTACAAGTGCTGTTCCCTTCTTTCGTAGCTGTTGACAATTACGCACCGCAGTTTGCAAATAGTTTTCACTGCACGCCTGCAAAGGATAAACCCTCTCAGATCTCGCTCCTCATATATTCTCACTCGAATCACAATTTCAGAGTTTTGTATAAAAAGAACCAACCGGCATGAACTGCATGCAACTGATCGCTTCTAACATATAAGTTGTATCTCACATTCTGCCTTCTTGCACTTTTTCGATTCGTGCTCAAGATCGCTCCAGGCAAGATTTTGTGCGAGACTTGGAATATTAACCCAATTGCAGTGTACTTTCTGTATTCCAAAAAGATGGCATTATCTTACGAACCGGATGTCATCGATATTGAGCATGCGAAGCAACTTCCATAGACCATCTTGAGAGAAATCCACATTTTTGACCCCATACCGTAACTTGCTAACTTCCTTTCTATGAAAAGTCGAACAATTTGAGAAGAGTAATTTCCACGATTATCAAGTCGAATTACGTCGTTTCACTTTGGCTTCCATTGTGTATATACTGTACTGAAATATGAATGCGATTTACTGATTGAGAAAACCAAATTAAAAATGATTTTCCGCACGATCACGTAAACCATCGGGAATTTTAACACATTGACGACAGCGTGACCCACATGGTGGTTCAGGCAATGACTGCCACGTGGGACAATGTGACCTACATGGGGGTCGTGGCTCAAAATTCGTCAAAATGAATACAATCTTGAGGTAAATTCGTTTCAGAAGTTCTCTTTCGCTCTGATTATGCGGGTTACTACCGCATTTCTTTTCTGCTCCTTGAAATTACCGTCGATTCACTGCAAATGACGATCTGCTTGATTTTAGCTGAAAATTTTCAACTTTCTCGTGGAAGGCATTGTCCCACAAGGCAGACAGCTGAAAATGCGCGTTGTCGTCAATGTGTTAAATGGGACGAAACTTATCCTATAGAGGTTACTCAGCATAGGCATAGCGTTTGCAGATAGTATAAATTTGTTCGATGACTTTTCGCTAGGTTGAAAAATATAGAACTGTGTGTGATTTCGACTACAGTATCAAGTTAAGTTATTCGACGCTTTATTGAGCAGTCCATACATAACACAAGCATGCTATGAAACACAAATAAGCAACAATCAGTGATATAGCGCTTAATCAAGCTACTTTTGAAAACGTTATATTAGGCTGGTACAACTAATTGTACGCTATCACAACGTAAACCTTCCAAAAATCCGAACAACATCCGATGAATGAACAAATTGGAACAGCTCTATGTCGTTTCCTCGATTATCCCAAAGTAGACGGAGCACTGCTAGCGAGAGAGTACAAAAAACAATGTTTCGAAGGGTTGGGCCAGACTGCGCGGCGTACGCGACGTACGCAGCGTACGCCGCGTATGCTCCTATGATGAAATATACCGAGCGTACGCTGCGTACGCCGCGTACGCCGCATCCCCGCGAAGTCTGGCTCAACCCGAAAGGGAGATTAATCGATAGATCAATTGACTGCAGCCGTTCGCCTACTCTACAGCATGCGAGCGCTCTATGCCTACTATCTTATTTGATTTGTTGAACTGGAAAACCGATATTTTATCGAGACCGCAATATCATTTCTCTTTCTCTCACTTTCTAGGTTTAGGAATGAACAACTCAGGCTTGTCCACCCTCGCTCTTCTGGTGTTGAGATGTCAAGTTCATCCGGCACTCTTCTGAGTTCTCTGATTATAATGTGTAAATAATCTCTCTATCGTTCTTGTATTCACCTTTTAAGCTGATGATCTCAAATAGTCTGACAGCCTAAGATTGTTAGCGGAACGACCAGCACGAAGAGCTGTTTCCCGACTTCAAAATCAAAAACATCGTAGTCGCGAAATTTGGAGAAAGCTTTTCTCACTTTTCAACATGAAACTCGGCGTTTTAGAATAGTCGATAATGTGTTT